GTTTTCATCCTTGCCGTCAAGTACTAGTTGCTTTGAACTAGTAGTGGGAGTTCTTCTTAAATCCCCAAATGTCTCCTCTGAAAAGAAGTGTTCTGGGTGGGGATGCACTTGTAATGTTAGCACCTTGCTTGTAGAAGAACTTTGGTTTCAGCTTCCAGAGAGATCTTGCAGGGCAGGCCGATAAGATCGGTGACTTAGGGAAGAGTAACAAGTGGCTGGAAGAAGCATTCTCTCCCAACATCAGAGAACGCTGGGGGCTGGGCACAGTAGCTCACGTCTTTAATCCCAGCACTTGGGAGGCTGAGGTGGGTGGATTGCCTGAGCTCACAGGTTCAAGACCAGCCTGAGTCAGAGCAAGACCCCATCTCTGAAAAATAGCCAGGCATTGTGGTGCAAGCCTGTAGTCTCAGTTACTTAGGAGGTTGGGGCAGGAGAACAGCTCGAGCCCAAGAGTTTGAGGTTGGTATGAGCTGTGATGCCATGGCACTCTACTGAGGGCAACAAAGTGAGAATCTGTCTCAAAAAAAGAAAGAAAGAAAGAAAGAAAACGTTGGGGTTTTAGCAGATTAAAAATAAAGTCAACAAAACCCAACACTACTCAGTGCCAGGTGAATTAATAACAACCCAGTGGTAGAAAGCTAATTTATCAACAATTTAATTGAAACTATGTATTGGCTGAAAAATAGCAGCCTTTCCAAGCAGCAGTTTTCATGCAGCAAGTTTGCTGCCACAAAGGTGTGTGACTTTTCATACACCATCATTTACCAGAATGGGGAGAATTTATGTAATAATTCTAATTCTTAGGTAAAACCCTGTGATGATTTTATAGACTTTATAACACCTTCTTTTCTATTTTGTATTTATGATGCCAAATCCATTTTAGTGGGTTACTCTTTCTTAATAAGCTTTTAAATTTTGTCTCTGGCTCTAAGTGAACTGACCAGAGGTATCTGAGTCCAAAGTGAACGTTTCTAGTTTTGGTTGTTGTATTGTGATAACACCTGTGCACCTTAAGGCAGTTTTGATATTTTACTGCATTCTGAGTAGTTTTTTTTTTTTCTTGAGACAGAGTCTCACTATGTCACCCTAGGTAAAGTGCCAGGATGTCACAGCTCACAGCAATGTCAAACTATTGGGCTTAAGTGATTCTCTTGCCTCAGCCTCCCAAGTAGCTGGGATACAGGTGCCTGCCACAATGCTGGCTATTTTTTGTTGCAGTTGTTTAGCTGGCCCGGGCCGGGTTTGAACCCGCCACCTTCGGTGCATGTGGCTGGCGCCATAACCACTGTACTTAGTAAGGGCACAGAGCCTCATTCAGAGTAGTTTTAATAGTCCCTTTTTCTTCGTTTAATATTTCTTTAGCAAGTGATGTTCTCTTTTCATCACTTTCCAATTGTTCATTTTTCTTAGCTTCTTCAGAAGAAAGGTGAGACAGTTATAGGGGACGACTTTGGTGTTGATATTTCTGCAAAGTATATTAATGTAACTACATGAGAATCACATTTTATTTGCTAATTGTTTGGGGGCATAATTGTACCATGGACCATATTTGCAGAAATAGGT